CTTGTTAGAATGGCTCTTCTTTTTTTATTATTATTATTATGTTAATCACCATACATTACATCATTAGTTTTTGATGTAGTGTTCCATGATTCATTATTTGCGTATAACACCCAGTGCTCCATGCAGAACGTGCCCTCCTTAATACCCATCACCAGGCTAACCCATCCTCCCACCCCAGAATGGCTCTTCTTAAAAAGAAAACATATACCAAATGCTGTCGAGGATGTGAGGAAAAAGGAACCCTCATGCACTGCTGATGGGAATGTAAACTGGTGCAGCCACGTGGAAAACAGTATGGAGGGTCTTCAAAGAATTAAAAATAGAACTACCATATGATCCAGCAATCCCACTACTGGGTATTTATCCCAGGGAAATGAAATCACTATTTCATAGAGTTATCTTTGCCCCCATGTTCATTTCAGCATTATTTACAATAGCCAAGACATGGAAACCACCTAAATATCCATTGACGGATACATGGATAAAGAAAATATGGTATAGGGGCACCTGGTTGGCTCTGTCAGTTAAGTGTCCAACTCTTGATTCCAGCTCAGGTCATGATCTTACCGTTGTGAGATCGAGCCCCATCTCAGGCTCTGTGCTCAGCATGTCTGTCTCCCTCTGCCCCTCCCCCCACTCAGGTGTCCTCTCTCTCTCTCACACACAATAAATAAAATCTTAAAAAAAAAAAAAGAGGGTGCCTGGGTGGCTCAGTTGTTAAGCATCTGCCTTCGGCTCAGATCATGATCCCAGGGTCCTGGGATCAAGTCCCACATAGGGCTCCCTGCTCAACAGGAAGTCAGCCTCACCCTCTGCCCCCTCCCCCCACTGCTCGTTCTTTCTCTTCCTCTCTCTCTCTCTCAACAATAAATAAATAAATACATCTTTTTTTAAAATTTAAAAAATTAAAAAAAGAAAATGTGGTGTATATATATATACAATGGAATATTATTTGGCCATAAAAAGAGAAAAAATTCCTGTCATTTGTGACAACATGGAAACTTGAGGACATTATGCTATGTGAAATAAGTTACAGAAAGACAAATACTGTATGATCCCACTTACATGTGGAATCTAAAAAAGCTGAACTCATAAAAACAGAGTAGATTGGTGGTGGTCAGGGGTTGGGGGGTGGAGGAAATGGTGAAGGTGGTCATAGGGTATAAACTTTTGGTTATAAGAGGAGTAAGTTCTGGGAATCCAAGGTATAGTATGGTACCTATGGTTACAATACCATAATATATACTTGAAAGTTGCTAAGAGACTAAATCTTAACTGTTCTTACTGTAACAACAATAACAAAATGGTAATTATGTGAAGTGAAAAAGGTGTTAACTAACCTTACTGTGGTAAACATTTCACAATATATGTGTGTATCAAATCATCACATTTAAAAATTTTTTTAATATATTTTTTAAGATTTTATTTATTTGAGAGAGAGAGAGCATGAGCTGGGGGAGGGAGAAGGAGAAGCAGACTCCCTGCTGAGTGTGGAATCTGACATGGGACTCGATCTCATGACCCTGAGATTATGACCTGAGCTGAAATCAAAAGTCCAACACTTAACCAATTGAGCCAGGCAGGCGCCCCTCAAATCATCACATTGTACACCTTAAACTTATATAAAGTTATATGGGAATTATATCTCAAGGCTGGTGGAAAAAAAGGTGGCTGGTCTTATACTAGCAAGCAATCCACACCTCTGCAATGCTGATCTCCCTCTCTCCCAATCCTTTATACTCATATTCCTGACCCTCAGAATGTGTGAAATAATAAATGGCTGAAGAGATGTGTACACTTGAAAAGCTGCCTTAGGAAGACAGGAGAACCATACCCAAATTCTTCTTCCCTGTCTCCCAAGTAGAACCCTCTTGAATTCCCCAACTTTCACATATATATTATCTTAGAAGTAGAACAAACAGTACTTGCTGATGAATTTCTTAGGGAATGGAAGGCCAGAGAAAGAAAAGAATAAAGAATGCTTTCAGTAACTGAGTGGATGGTAGTGTTGTTTGCTAAGAAGGGGGAAGCTAGGGGCACCTGGGTAGATCAGGTCATGATCCCGGAGTCCCGGGATCGAGCCCCGCATCGGGTTCCCCGCTCAGCGAGGAGTCTGCTTCTCCCTCTACCCCTCACCCAGCTCATGCTCTCTCTCTCTCTCTTTTTTTTTTAAGATTTTATTTATTTGACAGAGAGAGACAAAGCAAGAGAGGGAAGTGCTCTCTCTCTCTTGCACTCTCTCTCCCTCTCTCAAATAAATAAATAAAATCATAAAAAAAAAAAAAAAGAAGGGGCAAGCTATGGGAAAATCAGGCTTGGAAGAAAATCAAGACTGATAAAAGAAAAGAGGGGCCAGGACCAAGCCTGAAGCAACAGTGTGCTAGATATTTGATGTGGTTTTTAAATATGTCCACAAAATCTTTAATACTCCTCTCTTCCAGCTTGATCCCATTTCCTTTGAATGTGGACTGGACTTAGTGACTCACTTCTAATGAATAGACTATAGCCTGAGTGACGGTGTTGGACTTCAGAGACCAGGTCATAAAAGGCATTACAGCTTTCTCCTTGCTCTCTCTCGATCACTCACTCTAGCAGAAGCAACTGTGTGAGGTGGCACACACAGCAGCCCTGTGGAGAAATTTACTGGATGAGGAACTTGATAGCCTTCTGCTATCAGCCATATGAATGAGCCCTCTTGTAAGCAGTTCAACAGGCTTCAGGCGACTACAGCCCTCATTGACATTTTGATCTCAACTTCACGAGACACTGTTCATATTCCTGACCCTCAGAATCTGTGAAATAATAAATGGCTGTTTTCAACTGCTAAATTTTAGGGCTATTTGTTGCACAACAAAAAATAACTAGGGGCGTCTGGGTGGCTCAGTCGGTTAGGCATCTGACTCTTGATTTCCGTTCAGGTCATGATGTCAGGGTTGTGAGAGGGAGCCCCGCGTCGGCTCCGTACTGGTGTGGAGTCTGCTTGAGGTTCTCTCTCTCTCCCTCTGCCCCACCCCGGTCTAAAAAAAAAAATTTTTTTTTAAAACCTAATAAAATACTTTTCCTACTTCCTCTATTTTTTACAGCACTCAGGTAAGTGGTATTATTTATATCCATGTTACTAAAGAGAGAACTGAGGTTCAAAAACATTAATGGGGAGGGTGGCGGAGTGTGGGAATCCTGGGCTCCCCTTGTCTCATAGGTACAACTAGATGGCACCCACATCAGTGTAAATAACCTGGAAAACAACCCAAAGATGGGCAGAACAGACTCTAGAGCTGAATGTGGAGAGGAGGCCACATGGAGGAAGTCAAACGAAAAGTAAAGAAAAGAAAAATAAGGGGCACCTGGGTGGCTCAGTCGTTAAGCGTCTGCCTTCAGCTCGGGTCATGATCCCGGGGTCCTGGGATTGAGCCCCATATTGGGCTCCCTGCTCAGCGTAGGACCTGCTTCTCCCTCTCCCTCTCCCACTCCCCCTGTTTGTGTTCCCTTTCTTGCTGTGTCTCTCTCTGTCAAATAAATAAATAAAATCTTTAAAAAAAAAAATCTCATTGTCCAAAGACTCTTAGCCAGCAATTTTGGAATAGGTGGTAATTTATGGAACTAGATTTGAACTCAACTAACAGCCACCCTCATGTTTTCTCACCCATCTTCTGTGTGTATGTGTGTGTTTGTACTTTGTTTTCCTTTACCCTTTCTTTTTTTTTTTTAAACTAAGGATCTCAATCTCCTTTCTTTTTTCTTTTCTTTTTTTTAATTTT